TTACATCCTTTTTGAAAAAAACGGTTAAGAGCAAAAAATGACATACGATTGTTAGTTACGTCCATCGTGAAAGACGTTCTCTGTATATGGAGCACGCATGCTATCTTTAAGAAACCTGAAACATTTGGCGAATGTGCAATGCTTGGCTAGCAAGAGCGTAAGTGGTTGTCGTAAATGATAAATCCATACAAGTCCGTTCGATAGGAGTTCCAATGTCAATGCGAACTATAGTTAGTACTTAGAGCTCGTGACTTTCCGGGAGATAGAGACACCGATACTGTCTGACACTGGCTACTGAGTACTGACACCCTAGGATGAGCACGCCCTTGCAACGCGGCTGTGAAAAACTTTAGTTTAGTGGGGAAAACGCACGAGCTTTCTTTTTTTACAGGGCGTTCAGTGCGTTTGTTGTTTGTTGCTATTTAGCAGTGGGTTGCAGCAGGGGGGGGGGAAGGGATTTGTGATTACGTGGATAGTTTCTACTCGGGTATTCTTCATGAATATTGAACTGTTTATCTGTCCAGAAATGATTGATATTTAAAATGTGTGCGTCATGTGGATGTGCCAGATGTTCATGTATTTCCATTTTCCTCCGATGCGCTACACACACGTGAACGTACCTGCGCGCAGGCATGCATGTACGACACCTACATACAATCAGGTTACACTTATTAATACACAATTATTATACACAATAATACAATTATTGATACACTCCTGATACAATCAGTCAATCACACATGCATACACGACCACCACACGCCACACACACGCACCCGTGTACGTACGGCAACTACGCGCATGCACGTGTGCCTGTACGGGGACCATGCAGACACGCGCATGCGCCCGCAAATATCTTATTAAAAATGTACGTTTTACCGTAACGAGAGACTAACGTTTCAGTTTCCCAACTACGTTGATTGATTGGCTTTAGTTAATTGTGTGCGCCTCTCAGATGTTCACTACAAATTAATTGCGGGAGTTCATTAAAAGCGAGCGCCAGTCGATTGGTTTCATTCGTCAAATATTTGCGCAACTAATGAGCATCATTTGTTCGAACCAGTAAATATTTGCTAGTAATAGAATTACGCATTGTGTATGGGTATCTTACGGCACGGATCGTGTTCGTGATTTAATTATACATGAGGCAGCGCTGCCCTACGCGGGCACTTCACGTGGGAAGCCACGTGTACGTGGGAAGCCACGTGTACTTCCCATACGTTAGACTCCAGTGGCGATAATAAATGCAGATATTGACACCACGTTGACCTTTCGGTCTGTACTAAGCGCACTACCTGCTCGGGCGAAAGACTGGAGTGATAGACGCGTACTCGTGGGTTTTAAACTTTGTCCAATCAGTCGACGTTGCCGCGAGGAAAGGTTGCTGCGAAAAAAACTATTTACATGGGGAAATATAATGACTGCGTTGTCTGAGAACAAGCTATTGCTCTTGCAACTGTGCGGTGCATGAGCATGTACATGATAGCTTGCATCATAGTGCTTATGATGTGGGACACATGTTCAACTAGCAACAAAGTCAACGTGGTGGGGGGAAAAGACGCACCCCAGAAGATTCAAGCCGCAATTTACTGTCTTGCTCGAAACCACTAACTTTACTTACAACAATCAACTGCAATCAAAAACTCGGGAAATATTGAAATCGTGTCATTTCGTATTCATTGTGTGCCTTGCGGACGTGCCAATAATCAATCTGCCGTGCCACCTACTAACCACGCGCTAACTCAGCTCTCCACCCTGTGCAAAAGTCTAGTAAGGTCAGAGTTAGGTCTAGCTGATCCAGGTTAGGTGATTCTTGGGACTGTTGTTAGAGCGATAGTATAGTTATAACCGAAAGAGACATTAAGCAATGACACACATAAACTAGCTATAATAGTTAAAGTAGCATAAATGGATAGGACACGGAATATTTGAACATTGACCAACTCTTTAGCATCTCTACAAATCACTGATCGGTTGTCATTGACTCGTTGAGTGTTTTATTATTTTATATATATTAGTTGTTGTTGTCATCTACAGTATCCGATTAGTAACAAACACAGACATTACTAAACCGATAGAAACAAGATATTCAATATCTCGTCACCTCGTGGCACCTCCAGTAAAGCTTAATTCCCCCTGTGAACATCTCATCTCTTGTTTGCTTACAGATATACGAGAAACCTGGTGGACGACGGCAATGGAAAGTACAACCTGATCATGCTGTGCTGGTCGGAGGGTCAGGGCTCCAGCATCCACAGCCACGCCAACTCCCACTGCTTCCTCAAGGTGAGTGTACGCCGGATTCACCTCCCCTGCCTTCCTGCTCTCGGCTCTCTACCCACCTCCCATTTCAACTTCCCTAGCTCTCACCTTCGCTCTCACCTCCACTCTCACCTCCCATCTCACCTCCCATTTCACCCGACCTCACATTTCCCATCTCACCTCCCCTCTCTGCTGCCTTTTCACTTCCCTTCAGCTTGACATAACCCATAGTCTAAATTACTTCACTGTCTCTACACTGAAATTTGTGTTGACCCTGTTTATATGAGCTGACTATCGCTATACCTCCTTCTGCTTGCCTTACCAACATGACTTGGCCATCTCTACACCGCCTCCTCCTTCCCCTGTCACTATGACCTGACACAGCTCCCACCCGTGGAGTCCATTGCTTTAGAAGAAGTGTTGTACTGAGAACGTGATTCTTGAGACCTCAGGATCTTGTAGAGTCAGCAGGTCGGCAGGTTGTTAGAACTTAGATACGATATATAACGATGGTGACTTTATTAGTAACTTGACACATGCAAAATATATGCATACATACTACATCCTAGGTTATGGCCATATTGGAACCCGCCTGGCTGCCTCTCGTGATCTGTCCTCGCTCGGTCTCTCCTCTCGGTATCTTGATATCTCGATTAATTTACGTCCCATATATACTGGGTCAAAGGCAGGTACGGACAGGTACGATACAGTGTCAGAACGGTACGATCCGACCGGTTGTCACCAGATGCTTATTCTAGCAATAACGCATTAACGTGCAATGGTCTTTCAACTCAGGGCGCGCGGTGGGGCTACGAGCCACGGAGTCTTATGTCATTACAATAATATATCATGACTCCATAATAGAAAATTTTCTATTATGGACTCTTGATAATATCGATGGCGCGCAACTAGCAACTGGCATGCATTGTTTAGGCACAGCTTAATTTGCATGCAGTTAGTTACCGTACAATAGAAGCGCAATGTCACCCTTCGCTCATTCAGTATAGGCTTGCATGAAATACAATCGCAAGATGCTCTGGTCTGAAGCGAGGTTAAAGGTGCCGTGTATGCGACAGTTGGTTTACCGCGTACACGCGATGTGCACGCGCCTATTACGTACATAATTCACGCGCTTATATACAGCCTGATCGCTGAGCTATATATATAATAACATTATTATCAAGAGGTAATAATAAATATAACTATTAGCTCTTGTTATTATGTTATGATATACAGCTCAGTGGCCTGAGTGCACCCATTATCACCAGCGCCCCCTATACGAATCGGGTTTTCTAGAGCTATGTTTTCCCTAGATGTCCCTCGGACCGGGAGTATGAAATATCGAGAGTGTAATTAAATTGATCTGTTGCGCAAAACGGTATTATTTACAAATTGGTGCGTTTTACAGTTGCCATATAGTTCTATTATTAACCCGAAAATGCCTACATTGGTAGTTATAGCTTTTATAGCCTGTGCTTTATCGGGCGGTTTCTCGGTATTAGGAAGCGACGCGTTCGTTGATTTCTCATTATAACTTACTATAGGTTGCCGTTTTTATGGTTCATTACTGTTTTATGACGGTAGTGTTGAATATGCATTAATAACATCCCGGAGCTGCTGTATTGCCACATCAAACTACCGACGCATTTCGATGAAAGATTATGCGACACAGTTGTTGTCAATTGCCCCAAACGCGTATAAAACTAGAACCGGCGACATGTGCTTACTTAGGTGGAGTATTGTTATCTCTCGATGACCGATCAGACTCAATCTCTCAGATTTCGACAGATCATGTTATACTAAAAAATACTCCAGCGGCCGGCTCACTGCTAGGTCAGTGGTTTAATTTCTTTATACATTACCAACCAGAAAACAAACACGAACGCGAAAACGCGTCGATTCAGATTAAATAGGTCAATTTATGACATGCCGACGCAACAAACTAACATTCGGAATACACGCGGTTGCATAAATCTTCAACCAGAAACATTTACTGCCCGTAATATGGATTACTTGGTACCACTCATCTTGTATTTCCAGATGTTCAGGTGCAAAAATCACGACCACAAACTATAGATATATTCAAAAGCTCTTTATATATTGTGATACACCTGAGTTATAAACGCAGCACTACGCTTAAATGGATTGTTCAGTAGACCTAGGTAAACCGCCCCAATAACATTATCGGAGTTTTTATCGCGCACGCGACTTCTTTCGAAAAAGTGTTTGCTGTTGCCAGAAGGTGCGACCGTGGCGTACAGATGAAGTGGGTCGCTCGCACGCGCGGTGCTTAAAAGACGTCCTCTTGTTTGCGGTATCCCGGCACGTTCTTTCAACGGTGTAGTGCTATGTGTGCACAGACGGAAATGCTCATTCGCTACGCTCACATCGTGTGAGTGAGTGAGTGCGTGCGTGCGTGCGTGCGTGCGTGCGTGCGTGACAGTTGGACTCGCGACAGCTGAGGTATTTTTGGAAGGGCCTGCGGTGGTATCCCTGACCTGTGTGTCGCTGAACAACTCGGTCCTGTCAAAGATAACAGGCGCACATGCACGTAGCGCGTTGCTCCCTCGTGGAAGCAAGTGTGCTTATAACCGTCCTTCCTGCGTGCGTGCACTCCCCACGTGCGTGCGCTCCCCGCGTGCGTGCACTCCCCACGTGCGTGCACTCCCCGCGTTCGTGCGCTCGTCGCCTGCTGCGTGGATATTAAACCGATGAATCTAAACGCGCCGTTAAAGCGTGACTGAAATTGCGGCCGTTGCTTGCGAAGCGTCCGGCATGAATCTGATGTCGAGCCAATAACGTGACGACGCCCCGTCGACTGACAGCGCGAGCGCAGGCCATCCCCGCCGTGCGAACTTATATATTGTAAGGCAGGTTTTTGCACGTCACTCGCACTCGTCGGTCAATGCTCGTAGACAGCATGATGGTCGAAGCCGCCCCTTGTTCCTGTGCAATATTATAAATGTACATTATATATATAGATATTATAACATACGGCTACTACTGCGTGACCTCTCACCTGCATTGCGAGGTCGTTGCGACTCTCCCGCTGGCTCGACCCGGGCGAGATCGGGTCGTAGGGCGGCGTGGCGGCGCCACCGTGCCGCGCCGACGACGACGAGCTCTCGCTGAGTCGCCGGCTCGACCCGTGCGACGTCGACGGGAACGGCGACAGCTCCGATCGCTGGCTGCTGTGCAGGGAGCTGTAGTTGCTGTCGTAGCTGTTACGCCGCTGCCGCGAGAGCGCGCCTCCGCCGCCCGCGCCCGCCTTCCCCTGCTGGCCGCCGCCGCCGCTCCAGTCTGCGAGCGAAACAAGCGAACGTCAGAGCCGATGTTGCCTTAACCTTACGTTAAACCCTTATATGGTCATGGCAGCGAACTATGATCTAAATGAACTTATCCTCAACAACAGGATGGTGAAGAGTATGTGCCGAGTATTTATTCGTTCGTTATTTACCCAGGTCTCTTTTCGACACTTATTTTCTAATTATATTTGTCTATTGTCAAACCAGATACATGGCAACATTACCAGCGACCACATCTGCTCGGTGTGCGTTTAAACAAAATTATATCAATAATTCAAGTAATAAGTGGCGCCATCTTATATCTATATAGTATTACTGTGGCTTATATATTATATATTTAATCACGATTCCTCGTACAAACTCCTCTATACATCACTCAGAACGATGTATGTAGACATTTAATACATTTATTACATTAATACATTAATTAGTCTATATGTTTTTGCGTGCGGCGGTTGCCGAGTATTTTTGCAGCAGGTAAATTGTCGCCGTTCGTCTTGTCGTCTGTCTAGATGCAATCGAGCCTTTCACATGTGCACGGCGGGGAAGGGGGTGGCGTGCTCTACCAGCCGCCTCGTGCAGCGAGCCGGGGGGAGGGGGAGGCATGAGAAGTCTCTGTGTTGAAGCGAGAAATGGGGTGGAGTGTTGGATGGGCGGGAGGGAGAAAGACTGTTGTATGGGAAGAGTCTTTCTTATGCAACAGGAGGGGGAGGATGTTGGATGGGCAGGAGGGAGACGACTGTCGGCGGTATTAGACTCTTTCTAACTCTTTCCGAATATCATCGAGGGGGAAGGCATAGTAGGGGGTGAATAGACGGGAGGGAGGAGGTTGTTGGTTGAGATGGGGAGCCTCTCTCGTGCAGCGAGCAGGATGGAGGGAGTATTGTATCGGCGAGGTGAACGCTGGTGAATGGGAGGGAGAGAGGGGGAGGAAAGGATAAAGGGAGGGAGGGGAAGGGCGGGAGGATGTTCTGTTGGATGGGATGAGGATGCAGCTGTTTCCACCCCTCAGCCTCCTTCATGCACGCGTGCATACTTTACATCATTCATCGTCGTCACAGGCACTCTAGCAAATTGTTTTCCGGTTGCGTGCGCGTATGTGCGCGTGCGTGTGTGTGTGTGTGTGCGTGCGTGCGTGCGTGTTACCTTCATAGGCACCGGCTATCGTTATCAACCCACCTTGTGTATTGGCAGCGTAGATGTGCGTGCGTATGCCCCCAACCTATTGCTCGTACTGATGTTTGATCAGGAAGCCAGTGCAAATTTACATCACAGCGCCCCACGTCCGGGTTGTGTGCATGCACACCACCCCGCCGCCTTATTATGTGGACACCACCCACTCACTGAGTGCACACCACCCCCTCATTGCGTGAACACCACCAACCCCTTATCGTGTGCACACCGTTACCTTATTGCGTGCGCACCGACCCCCTCATTGTATGCAGACCACTCCCTCGTTCTGCTTACACCACTCCCTCATGTGCACACCACACCCTTCTGTGCGTACACCACTCCTCGTGTGCGACGCGAGCGCCCGGTGTAACTGTCACGCGACGGAGCGCGCGCGTGGGTCACAGCCGCGAGCACCCGTGGTCGGTGGCGACGACGGGCACTGTGCTCCGTCGTGCCACGGGCGAACCGCTGGTGCGTGACACGGCACTCCTCGTGTGCACACCACATCTTCTGTCGTAAGCCACTCCCTTGCAGCGCCGACAGCCCTTCGGGTGCGCGAGCAGCCGACCTCGTCCGTGCACGGGCGCGAACAGGGGGCGCGCGTCGGGGGCCGGTGCGTGTTGCGTACACCACCCTCGTATTGCACGCCAACTCCTTCTGGTGCGTGAGCAGCCACGCCTGCGTGGTGGCAGCGAGCCGAGCACTTGTGCGGCGTAGCGAGCGCACTCCTGGCGGTGGTGCGACGCGGGGGACGGGGGTCGGGCGGCCCTTCTGTCGTACACCCTCCTCGTGTCACCGCCACACCCTTCTGTGTGCCGCACCACCATCTGTGTGTGGCACGCCACAACCCCTTCTGTGCACAAGAGGCGGGGGGCGCCGACGTCGCGCTCAGGCGCTGCCAAACACGCCGCTGAATTCTGTGTGCAACCAGGGCCGCTGTACCCAATTTTAACAAAGAAAAAAAAAAATAATAGAAATAAACATCTTATCTATATGTGTGTGTGATGTGCGGTGTTGTGTGTGTGTGTGTGTCGTGTGTGTGTGTGCTGTTTGTGTGTGTGTGTGTGTGTTTGTGTGTGTGTGTGGTGTGTGTGGTGCTGTGTGTGTGTGTGTGTGTGTGTGTGTGTGTGTGTGTGTTTGTGTGTGCGTGTATGTATATATATATATATGTGCGTGTTCTTTTGTCGTCCGTATTCATGGCAACGCGCGAATTGTGTGAATCATTCATTTTTGATTATCTATAAAGCATTGTATTTGTTTTTGATTATTTGATTCTATTCCAATTCTATTCCAATGAAGAGATGTAATCTCGAAAGCTCGTCAATTAAACTTTAAACACCCTTATTCTATACCTTGACTTTGTTTTTTTCTACACGGGTGTTCGTGTGTGACTTTACTTCTATATATATATATATAGGTTATCTATATTATTTCTATGGCTATACCTTATCGTTGTGTACGTAGTCCCCTACCCTATCGTTATGCGCGCCGCACCCCTCCCCACCCGACCGTGTGCGGTTTTGCGGTAAACATCAATCACTGTCTTCACAATCACACATAATATATACCGTTACCGCGACACGACGTGACGCCATGCGGTGCTCGCTAGCCTGCCTTTCGTGTGCGCTGTTCGGCGGTATTAAACAGGTACGGTGATACACACCGAAGTGTCACATTAATAACCATCGCCATTGTCTCGCGATTGGCGGCCTTGGCGAGCCGGTGGCGACTCCCAGGCTTAGAACCGCATGTTCTCGCAGCAAAATGCATAGATCTACTTACTGTGAGCTCGTCTATGTTGCAAAAATTCACAATAAATCATTTCTATTGCTACTTTCATAACATTTCTTCAGCAAACCTAAACAGTCTTACGAAACTAGCACTATCGAATGTTTGCACAGTGTTTTCGCATCCGGGACATAGCCGAGCGATCGCAGTTTTCATTAACAGTTCTTTTCTATGATAGAACAAGTTATAACTTATAATTCATTGTTCGATGTTTGTTCAGTACAAAATTGTGAAATTTATTAAAACCATATGTTATCTACATTACTTATGCAATCAGCAAACAAATTCATATAGTGTTTTTTTCCAGGAACTATTTGCGCTAGCGTATAGCCCTACTGTTAGCATTCTCAGACACATTGCTCTATGTGTATCTGTACGCCGAAACACTGCCCGACAAAGTTTTCAAAATAGTTCGGAGAGACTTTAGAGACGGTTAGACTTCGGAGCACATTTCTGGCTCAATCAGAACGTTTCGTGATGTTTGCATACTGCAAGCATGCTCACAGTAGGTCTATGTAGGCTTTTTGTTGCGAGGTTTATCCATTTTAAAGTCGCCCGGTGACGCGTATCAGATGCGTTTGTTATTTTATTAATTTTGTTAATTGCACACGATGTTCTACGAAGTATACGGCCGTAATCACACGGTATTTAAAAAAATAAATGTAGTTACACACGACACGATTATACACTACACAATGCGTATGAAATCTGCTTGTCATTATACACAACTTGCATTAAATATACTTGTAGTTACACGGCGTGTGTCTATAAAATACACAATATGTATTTTATCTGCTTGTGATACGGAACAACATGCTTGTGACATACCTACTTGTGGTTATACGGTGTGCGTGTGAAATGTATTTGTATTTACAGTGTTTTACACACAGTGTTACATACTTGTAATCATACTTACAGTGTGTGGTGCTAACGTGCTGGTGCTTTTACGCAGTGTCGATCAAATATAGTCGTATTTATACGCGATTTGTATTGAATTTAGGTTTCATATGGCAGGCGTCGAACGACCATCGCGGTTCGTTCATGTAACGTATGAAGAGGCACGGCGGCGGCAGGCACATCACGGACATTATTAATCAGTAATAGCGATGTTACGCGTAGTTGAGCACAGTCCACACGCGTCCCCGTGGGGCTAGCGTAGCTTTCTAATTACTAAATGAGAGGCATTCGTTAGTCACGCACGACCTATTGTAGAGGTGCGAGAGATCGAAAGAGAGAGAGAGAG